CCGCTCGGCTTCGGAGGAATTCCGTTCCGGACGATTGTTTTCCTCCCACTAGTATTTGAGCTCTTCACCCGGAAGGAACTCCCAGGGAAAGGAAAACATTTCAAGTGAAAAAACATTTCTCGCGACTCGCGGGCTTTCGTGCTCATTTGTGCAACAGGAGTTACCGGAGATGAAACCGAGAACGAGAGGCTGTTGCGTGACGCTCGACACGGGACCCGAGTTCTCTTGAGACGACTTCACCGAGATAAAGTGCGCTCACACACGCACTGATCAGCCCAATAATATTCCGCCGTCGAGGTCCGGACGGATCTCCCCAGAACCCGTCCTTTAGCTTCCAGCTGGGGCTTTCGATCCTCAGCTCGGTGCGGCAGCGGTGTGCGCAGTCGACGGAGAGGAAAAAAAATGCGAACTCTACTCGAAGTGTTCACTTTGCTTTGGAACGTTTCGTTCGATGTGGTCCACATCCAGCCACCGACGAGGGAAGCGCTCTGCGGGGAGCAGACAGTACGGATTTTTTCCAACGTCTCTGGAGTCGTCAACCTCATTCGTAACGAATTCATATTCAAACGTTGGACCATGGTAATCGTGCATCGAACGCTGAGCGTCGAGGAAGTGGGTCTGCTGGCTCGGGAGGCCGAATGGATTCAGCTCAGTCGCTGGGTGTTTTTAGACGAGGAATTCATGAATTTCCTGAGTCGCAGCGACAGCCTCCTGCTCAGCTGTGTGACGATGGCGTACCATCGAGGATTTTTAGATATACCGAGCGGATATCGCAAGTGTGACGAAAGAGCTCTCGTTTCTCTGTCGACGAGCACGAATGCTTCGCTGTCTCAGTTGAGACAAATGGACTCGATCGAGAGACTGGTCGTGGTCTGTCGAGCGATCTGCTGGGACTTCGACGAGTTCCGGGACATAGTTTTCGCCCTGACCGGCCATCCACCGGTCACCTTGAACGTCAACTTGAACCAACCCGCCAAGGAGGAATCGGAGGAGGTATTCTTCAGGCTGCGCGCCCGACAGGGGGACCTGGTTCTCACGCGGCACGTATTCAGCGCAGAACGTCTCGCGCAGGTCGGCTATACGAGTGTGAGCTCCTTCGCTCAGAATCATTTCGTTATCAAGAGGGTCCTGCCGCACCGAATGGGCAGTTTCGGCATCATCAACATTTTCGACCATTACTGCTGGGCAGGACTGCTCGTCGTGGTGATAGTGTACACTTGCATCGTGAACGTCAGAACTCGGAACTTGGGCTTCTCGCTGATGTTCGTTATCGGATGCATGTTACAGATAAGCGTCATGGTACGGAAACGCCAAAACAACTTTATCTACATCGCGATGTTCGTCGGATCGATTTTGTTCTGTCAGGTGTTCCGGGGGAAAATGCTATCTAGCTTCAACATCCTCGCCCACAGCGACTTCAGCACCCTTGCTCACCTGAACAAACTTCTCAAAGAGAGCCAAGTTCGAGTTTGTGTGTTCGACAAGGATTTTCTTTCATCGCTGATAACAATTGACGCTAATCTCGAAGTGCTCAGACTCCTGGCCGAGGCCAAGCTGAAGAGAAGATTGTTCGATACTGGTCGAGAAGAGTGCGTGGCTCTCACCGCCAAAAACACAGACGTGATCAGTATTCTGTCTTCGGCAGACATCTACACCGTCAATTACACTCACTTGGTTGATGTTTCCTCGCAGGCTGTTGTCGAGCGGGTGTCCGGTTTCCTCATTTCGCCGGGACATCCTCTGACGCCGAGACTCAATAGAATCGTTCACCAGATGCTGGACATGGCTGTTTTCGATCAGATGAAGCGACGGTACCTTCTGCGCTGGAAAGTTCGGACGCTCTCGAATCAGGCCACGATATTCGACGGGGTGGAGAAACTGCGTTTTTGGGACATCGCTCTGGCAACCCTGATTTGGAGCGGAGGTCTATTCGTGGCACTCGTTGCATTCTTTGTGGAGGTTTTCAGCAAATAAGCCGTAAGCTCGCTTATGCAATTCGGACTGATATAAGGAGCATTCAGTTCCTCAGAGAAGATGACGTGTCAGGCAGGGCGCATCACGTAATAAAGTCTTGGTTTCGTCATGGTCTACCCATTGCTGTCATACCCTCGACAATCATACATAAGAGCATGAGGAACTCTGCGACGTGTCGCCCCGTAGACAGCGAGTTCGCGAGACGGCGTCTCTACAAAGAGGATCCACGGAGAATTTCTCAATCGAAGAGCTCGAGGTAAGTGGTAGGTCATATCGGGCTCACACTTTTCCCGACCCGAACGACTCTTATGATCAACTTATGTGCCCGCGAGCCACAGACCTTTGGAATCGATACAATATCCTTATCGAGTCTCGAGTTGTACACGGATCGCCCTCGATATAAGACCTCGGGCGAAAAGCCGCACAGGGGGCTGCGGCACTGACAGCTTCTGCGATACCGTCGGATCAGTCGATTTTGCGCGAGCTCATGGCCGAGGGAAGCTCGCCCGGTTATTCATGTACATATTCATGGGCTGTAGTCTACGGTGGGAGTTTCAGGCAGCCTCCAGACCGAGTCCACACCATAGCACGCAATTCTTTTCTTCTCTACTCTGCTCGGTGGGCGGAGGGGGAAGGAAAGTTCCTCTTGCGTGGCTCGCAGCTCAACGTCAATTGTTATCTTTTTTTCCCTCCTCCCGAACCTTGGATAGAATGGATGCGGCAGCAAGACGCGAGAGCCTCCTCTGAATGAGGAATGTGGGGTTTTTGCGACTCGAATGCCAATGTGCGCGAGAGGGTGTGCAGCGGTGGCAATGGATTCCATAGATGTGGTCAGCTTGGTAAACTCTCGCATTGCATCTTTATCAGTGGGGAAGATGAATCCCTCAAGACTCGCAAGTAAGAGATCCGAACATGGAGAGCTGATTAGTGATTACCGGAGGGATGCGACCTGTCACTCGCGGCTGAGTTGGCGGAAAACGTGTTCTGGGATGACGTCTCTGCACGGCAGGAGTATTATTCCTCCACGCCTTGGAATGGACTTGGGGTCTGCTGTCAAGGGAATATGAATGGATTGCGCGGTTAGGGAGTTTCCGTGGATCGCTTCTCGGAAATTCAAGCGCTCGAGAAATTGTCGCATGATGGGTTTTAATTATCCGTTCATTTGGCTCCGCTCAGGCCCGACTGGGGAGGCCTCCGACCCATTGGCGGATCGATCTTGTCCCAGAGGGAAAGCTCGTACAGGGACTTGAATGAAACCAGCGGATGTACTCTATGTCCGAAGTCATCTTGACGATAGTCCCTCACAATCAGCTCCCTGAAAATTTTGTCGGCTATCATGTTCTGGTCCTCGGAGGGCTGGAAGAAGTCAAGCGTGTTCTCGCGGCGCGGCGTCTGTTCCAAATCTCTCGTCTTCTCCGCTCGACGACCATTCCGAAAAATACCAATGGTGACGATTCCTACGGACAGCTCTCCTAGTTTTCGAGAATCATCGTGGTCATTGAGAATTTATTCCAATAATAATTATAATCATTTCTCCTCCGATTCATGGTCTCATCTATTCCTCGTTGTTACGTTCTGCCAGAAGTCGAGCTTAAGGAAGCCGAAGGCACTTGTCGATATCGCTGGAGACCGAGTTCCGTTCCCTCCGCTCGAGGAACAGGTGAATGTCAAGGGGAATAAGTCATCCCATATTCTCCATCAGGAGATCGCAAGCTCCCTACAACGAGTGTTGTATTCTCTCCGGCAAGTGTATTCTCCCCGTAACGAAGCTCGTTGTCGGATCACGCTCCCCCCCTCGGGGCTCACAATAACGATGTTCCATACCTCGCGGAGAGCAGGAGCAAAAATACGACGACGCGTCGTTCCCCAATCATCCGGATTCCCTCCCAGGGGAAGACAAAGGAAACATCCGCAGGACCGACTGCGAATCATGAAACAAGTTTTCGACAGGATTTCCTTACGCTCATGGGGGAGGGGGAGGCTCTTCTGAATTCGGAGGGGCCAGGACTGGGAAACCCCTCTTCTTGGAGCGAAGAAGAAAAACAAGGGAGGAGTCTGTAGCTCCGAGTCCGATCTATCTCCGATTCGAGAGTAGGTAAATGTATTTCTGCGTGTAATAGGTTCAACCGGAGCTTCCAAGGTCGGCACAGCTCCTCTTACGATCGTGTCCCATCGCGTAACACCCTCACGGAGCTCGAACGCTCGCGGATTAACGAACACGGGATCAGGCGAAACAATGTTGAAATTGAGGGCGGAATCGCTGACAAAGGAATGGATGAACGACGAACGCGGTTTCAGCCACGACCCACAGACAGACGTGCGAATGGATAGACGACCATAGGGAAGGGTCTAAGGAGCAACAGTTGGCTCGAAGTCGCCCTCGCGCCCTCGTTGTCGCCGTTGCCCTAACGTTTTGAGTTTCCACCGGCGGCGCCACCGTCAGTACGCATCGTCAGCGAGCAGCAAAGCAGGCAGACAGACAGGCACCAAGCAGGCAAGGAAGCAAGCGAGCAAGGGAGCGAGTGAGCCAGCAGGCACGCAGAGAGTAGGCCACACGCAGGGAGCGCGTTCCAGATCGCGCATAGCCCAGGCGAAGTTAGTATCTCGCTGGTTCGCTGCTCTTCTGTCTGACTCACTCACGCACCGATTCAGCAACGAACCGTGCCGTGAGTCCGCGCGCCAACCGTGCCAGTCGGTGGCACAGTAGTTCCTCTCCGGGATCGTTGTGTTCTCTTCCATTAACCCATTCATCCGTAGCTGTTGTTGTTGTTGTTGTTCTTGTTGTTTTTACGCTGACGGTGTTGGTGGTGGTGGTCGTCGTCTTGTCGCTTCGGCTGTCGCAGCATCTGCAACAGCAGCTGCTCAAGTGATTGTGGAAGTGCGACTGGAGTTGTGTGTGGCGACCCATGACGTTTCCAGCTGTTCGTTGTTGAAACTGACACCGTTCAACAGCTGATCTACGCTCTTGTGAGAGATGGAGTGACCGTGTTCTCTTCCACGAAGGAGAAAAACTGACAGAAGCGCAGATGCCGCTTTTCGGCAAGAAAGACTCAACGCGCGGTAGTAAGAAGTCAGTGACTTCGAACTCTAGCGCCGATGGTCACAACGAAGAGAACAAGGAAAACAAAACGTGCAGTACTCCGACGTCGTCCGAGCACTTCTCCAAGGAAAACATCGAGGACAAATATGAGTTTAAGGATCTACTCGGAACGTGAGTTTCAACATCGATAGCGACTCGGAGCGATAGGGAGCTCCTTCCCATTTTCCGAACATCGACTCCGATTCCGGGAAATTCCAGATATGTGGCGTTCCGAGACTTCCTGACACAAGGGATGCTGATCCTGGTTCGGTCGGATCTTCGTTTCGAAACCGGCCACGGCATACCGCTCAACAGATCAATGCCGTGGAACATGGGCGTATATAAGTCCGGGGACGGCATTCTTATGGTGATTGCCGGTGCTGCCGTAAATGATGTGGAAGTTGTTGCCCATTTGTTGTCCGACCTGGGTCCGCTCAGGCGTTGTCCGGGAGACCGACGGCGCGGCGTCAAAGCTCTCGAGGATGCTCCTTGTCTTCTCGCAGAAAATAATCGAATCGGCGGGAAGGGTCCACTTTGGAGCGGAACATTCCTCCGTCTTGGCTTCGGCGGGCGAGGTTGTCGCTTGCCCCAATCTCAGGGCTTCGGTCAGCTACAAGTGTCGGGGTTTGCACGCGAGCTGAATCAGCACTCTGCAAGTGCCTATCGTGGACAAGGGCCCCCACGGGCTCCGGAGTTCAATTGTCACCCTCGACGCCGCCTATCTCCCAGAGTGCCGGATTTCGGCCCTGAGTTCCGCAATACGTTCTTACGCAGGACATGTCATCGGCCCACCGAAATGGTCGACCGACCGACGGAGCAGAGGGACAGATTACCTTGGTGTTGAACTTTCGCTCGAAACCGCAATGAATTTCTCTGACCCTGAACATTCTATCAGGCTCCATGCTCATCCTCGCCGTCGTCATCACACAAATTGTAGGGGCAGCCTTCAAGAGATCAGCAGCCCGTTCGGATTCGACAGCATCCGAATGGCAACGAGAACGTCGGGCTGGGCTGACGACCGTGACCTTGATTCGTAGTAGCTTTTAATAAGTTCGCCTTCGAGGTGCTACTCGATCGCCTCAACTGCTTAATGGGCTCTTGGGATGGATCACGTGTGTATCGGGAGTCATTTAGGCGTTTTCGACCACTACCGCCAAGAAAATGAATTTCTTTTAACCAAACTGACACCGTCGGCATGTCCGTTCGCTCCGCTACTCTGGAAACGTGAACGCGGCGTCATTTGCTGTGGACTAGGTTTCTCACCGCTCTGAATCTCCTGCGAGAATGGAACTCCCACTGCTTCTCTCTACAGAAACTCGGCACCTTGAAGGTTCCAGATAAGGCTCGGAGAGAAGTCCCCTCCATCGGTTTTCCCTCGGCCCTGCTCGATATTTTTTTTCTCGGCGACACTCGATGTGTATCTGGCATCGTTATCGGCGGCCATGTGTCATAATTCTGAGAGACGCTCCAAGCATCGGGGGAACGTCAAATAAAGCGCAGAATTTTCGGGTAATCGGAACGATTCGGGGCTCCGGCAACATCTGCTCCCTTTCCGAGGGAGCATGCGCATGCACATCCGATCGGTGCCGGTACAGCCAGCGGTTCCCGGAAGGCTCGGAATGCCTCTGCGCGCGTTCAAGGCAAACGGAGGAAGGAACCGGAGGCAAAAAGCAAACACGGAGTGCTTCCGCTGCAGTCATTTCGCTCCCGAAGAATATCCATCGACTTGTTTACTTCGGGCTATTGATGTGATCTCGAGGATCAGTCGCGTCGTCTGGTGGCACCTTGTATGATGACGACGACCGACGACTACACACTTTTGTCGCAATGAATGGCTATTCCTGTCTCTTCTTCCTTGGCCAGTCGATGTTTGCACAGAGAAAGGGAGCCTCTAGTGAATAAGCCTAAGCACGACGACGCCAGGAATGAGCTCCGGCGATTCCACGGGAGTAAGCTCAGACGCACATTCACAGCCGTTCTCGTTGCGTTCGACCGTAACCCAACGCCTAAGCCTCTTCGGATGACCGAGCGAGGAAGCTACGTCGACGTCTTGCTCCGGTTTCGGATTTTCGTTCGTATTCCGATCAACTCGAGCGGAGCTATCTGGACGGACGGAGCTGAATCGCCTCGATTTCGTATTTCTCCGGCTTGATGATGTCACACAGCTCCCGAATTGTTGGCGGGATCTTCATCAGAAAGAGATTGTGGACCGACACGATGATGCTTCCCGATCCGCTTCAATCGAGTTTTGTTCCGTCGGCGGTGAACGGGAAAATGTCTCCCGTGGCCGGAAGCGACGGAGATCTGGCGCCTCGAGAACATAATTATTACAGTCGACAACCACATGGCATTCATCATCGGCTTGCGTCGATTTTCCTGCTTCGTGAAGATTCCCGCAGTCGACAATAGGCCACACTTGATCCTTGTCTCACAACCACTCGTTCATCGAGGCGCCCACATCTATGGGTTAACATTCCCGTTGGTCGCGTCAAGTCTCTACGGGAGTTCAATCGAATGAATAGCTGCCAGGGACTTGGAGCTCGCTTACGAATCGATTGAGCCTCCTTGTCGTAGAACTTAGCAATTTCGAAGATTCAACTCCGAACTGGAGATACCCGGAAACGTATCGGAATCTCATTGAGGATTGTCGGGCCGCGGCGAGCGACTCGCGAGGCGAGTTCCCCCTGCGGTCAGAAAGGGAAAAAACACCGAACACGACTGGAGCAATGACAGAGACGTCTGTGTGGTCCCAGAACAGCATGGGATGGCGCGCGCGTGCCTGCGAGCGTGTGCGAGCTCGTCGAGTCCCATCTAGGTTACTGGATATGGGTTATCGGCTAGAATATGTTCTGAAAGGATGTCGTGAAATGTCTAGAGGAGGGAGGAATTCGCGCAGCCAGGAACCACTCGTACGACGGAGGCGCAAGGGGGATACGACAGCTCCCAGTTCCTCCTTCCAAGCGCTCTGGATTCTGCGACAGCTTCGAGAGGCTCTCCGAGAGGTTAGACCTCAAACTCTATTCACAACTAATAGCGGGTAGGAGGGACTAGCCACGGATGAAGTGAACCGGGAACAATACATCTTCCTCCCGAGGGCCAGATGGCGGCCGTCACGAGACCGTTCGCGGGAGAGATCAGATTCCTGCAATCTCCCGATGCCCTTCCGAGAGCCCGAACTCGTTTCCTAGCCCCAACGTTGACGTTCCTATTCGGGAACCTTTCCCGGCGGTTGTAGGAGAGGAAGGAGATCCACGGACCGAGGCGAGCTCCCCGCCTGGAAGAACGCGCACTAGATCAATAGTGACCGCTTTCCGTAACCTCTGACGCGAGTTCGACTCCTTCCCAGGGCTCGCATCGAACTCGTGCTCCATATTGAGTGCCGACGGAAAACCTCGACTCGCTACAGTTCCGTGGTGGGTTGATTCCAGAGAACTGGAGTTCCGGGAGAGGCGGGAAGACGTGCAGTCGGCTCCCTTCGTCGATTATTAACGGCCCGTCAGTTGCAGTTGCGTAGCAGTTGCTCGTTGCAGTCGACGAATTACAGAGGAATGTTGACGCAAGTCTCTGGAAGGGTCTCTGAAAAACGTCAAAAGGCTCTTGCGCTCGTATTGTCGCATCAGCTGCGAAGGGAACTCTGGGAAGAGGGTAGGGAGAGGAACGGCTCAGGGAAAAACGAGAACATCATCCGAAAAGCTTCCAAGAAACCGAGAGGCAGCTCTTTCATTCGGTTTTCGACCCCGAGGAATGATCATGAAGATCGCTTCCTGCAAGCGGTGTCAATTTCCACCCCGGTCCAGATGGCCAGTGAGGAGCTCTTATTGGCGGAAGAAAATCGTCATCCCGAGCTCCACAGAAAAGCTCAAATAGGACTTTTCGTTTTCGAGCCCGACTTTCTCGCGCCTTCACATCGGAGCTCTGAGAGTGTCTTGAATGTGTGTCTTTAGGTGGAAGGGTGTCCGATCCGGGACGCTCAGCATACGACTCCGGGCTTTGTCTCCCGATATAAAGCCCTATGAGTATTTCCCTGTGACAAATTGCGCATCGATTGAACCCCTCAGCCGTGGATGGAAATCTATCTCCCCGTCGATTGCTAGCTTGAGCAATCCCCTTGAGACACAAGCTTCCGACGCAGAGGACTTCGTCTCGCTCAGTCAGCGAGGTATCTGGGCATCTCCATTTCCAGAGTCATCAGTCGTCGCCCGGTGACGGCTTCTGCGAGGCCCTTTCCTGCATGTCGCAATCACGGATACGTTCGTGCACGTCCTGCTCGGGGAAGGGCTCCAAATGGGGAGAATTGATTTCAAAAGATCTAGAGCACTATCTGAAGCTCCACACGGATCTCGATTGAAAACCATCCCGACATTCGTCCTGATGAATTATGGATCCGAGGGTGAACACTTTGGATTTTTGGCACCGCAGTCCAAATCGAGTCACATGTCACATCCCTTCTCTTAACTATCGTATGAACGGGCACTGCAGATTCGCTTCGATTTCTTACACACGGAGGTCGCTCGCGCGGTCCAAGAAATTGATGATATGTGTCCGTATTACTCCCCAAATCCGTGAGAGATTAGGAGCTTTCTCGGGCTGCTACGAGAGTTTGCGGGGATCAGAGGCAGCTCGCCCAGTCAGGCGGAATCCGCGTACGCGGTCACCACTGTTCACGCTCTGTGATGACAGGAGGCCATCTGGGTGGATTAGCCGGGCCGGATCTCGTGATTCGATTCCGAATGAACATGTCAGGAGATATCGCGGGAAAAATCCAAGATGCATTAACGATCGAGGAAGTGGAGTGCAGAGAGAGAAATCGTACTGGGCGGACACCAGCTGCCGTGGATGTCATACGGATGAGCCTCGTTCGACTCGACGGACCAGACGTCCACCGGTAGCCACGCTCATATGACGGAACTACGTTAATTCTATTGGCGGAAAGAGAAGACTCCAACGATGATGAGGACGATGACAGAGAAGGAGATCTTGTCAGAAAGAAGAATCTTGTCCGTCCAGCGAGCTTATGATTGAATTTTACGAGCAAAGCTGCAATCTCAGAACTGCCAGCTAGCTAGCTGGCTAGCTCGCTCGCTTGCCCGCCTGAGTGACTGCGCGCCTCTCAGCCTATCCGAATGGCCGCC